CTGTTGGGTGCCGGGTGATGAGGCTGTTTTGCCTGAGGGGGCGATGTAAATATTTTGTGTTCCCCTTACTAACTATACGTTGGATGTTTGAAGCTGTTTAGTGGCTACTTTTGTGGTGTTTGTTGTAATGTATTGGGTGTGTTCCTTTGTAGGGCGATGGGGATGTGTGTGCCGAACAAGCTGATGTTAGGGTGTCGGATGAAGATGTGGTTTTGCCAGAGGGGGGCGATGTTGGCATTGGTGGTGTTGGTTCAGGTTTGGGTGTTTCCCCTATGTCGGACTGTGCACCATTCAGTACCCCAGTTGAGGTTCGTTGTTTTTGTTTGTGTTCGCAAACATATTCTGTTCATAGGCCTCATGTTCTGTGCATACTGGTTATTATAGATGTGCGTAGCAGATGTTTGTTTTGGTGATTTCTTTTTTAAGGTGTGTTCTGATAGCTGATGTAGATAGCTGTGGGATTTGTGGGTTATTTTAATTTTTTTGGGGGTTGCTGTGTGCTAGTTTATATTTGTAATTGTGCACGGACGTTTTGGATTTGTAGTGGTTCCTTTAAATGTTTATGGGGTTGTGTTTGGTGTCATTTGTTGTTGTTTGTTTCTTTGTTTCATGGCAGGAATGTTTAAAATTAATGTGGTTTCTGAGCCCACGTTGTCTGATGGCCCGGTGTGTGCGGCTCCGGTGAAAGCGGTGCGTCCCGTTATGCCTCTTGGATCCGTCCCCACGTTGTTGCGCTCCTATTCAGTATGAGCCAACAGGCCCAAGTGAAGCTGTTGCGTTTCCCATGCCTGACCTTCCGGAGGATGCGTTAATAGTGAATTGGTTATTGGGGGGGTCGCCTGCTGACATGTTAGTTTACCGGTTTTGTTTCTTATGTTGGTTTGCATATTCGTTTTATTCTTTGCACTTACTATTTGGTTATATTAGGGTTGAGACTATATTCTGTGTTGGTGAACGGACTTTGTCGTGGGAGAGTTTGCTATCGCTGACACCGGGTTCTGAGGTTGATGTTGGTGTTATAGATGCTTGGTCAGCTGTGTTGAATCGTCGGAGGCTACTAAGGGCTGTGCGTCACCCTCACGGCTTTTTGCTTCGACGTTCACGACGGTTAGTATCAATTCCATCACTTCCATTTCATTTTACTGTTGGTTGCTTTGTTTGGGGTTTTTGGTATCCGGTTTTTTATTTGTTTTTTTTTTCCTGTATTCTTTAGTTGTCTACAGTGGTTGATACTTCCCATCCCCCGGAGAAGAGGTTAGCTTGGTTCTCTGAGCGGTTGAGGATGGACTTGAAGTTGTCACCGTATGAAGATATTTGTGAAGTTGACATGGTATGCTTGATGAAGTTTTGTTTTTTCCATCTTAGGTTTGTGTGTTTCTGTATGCTCGCACATCCAGTCTCAGGTGTGCGCACTACACAATTCTTATGTGCATACTATTATAACATGTCCTCACCATATGCAGCCACCAAGTCTATTAGTATTTCAAGTTTTCATACATGCATTGTGTGGATACTGTAATGCCATATGTATATTTTTAAATTATTATTTTAGTATTTTTCTAAATAGCATTTAGTATCTTGGTGTATATCAGGTGTGCACATTGCACACTTTTTATGTGCGTACAGGTTGAGTTCATGTGTTCGGTCTGATATTTTGGTGTACCACTAGATCACACCCGAATGCTTTTTTTTTTTTTTTGTCGTGTGCAGCTGTTTTTCCCAATTCTACCGGCGTGGTCACTACTTCTTGTTGTGCCTTGATTTCCCCCGGTTTCGTTATGAGATTATTGACAATGATTCTAATCCTAAAGCAAAGGCGTTGAAATATGGCGATTGTATGAGGATTTGGTTAGTATTGCTCTCTGTGTGCCCCTACTCCGCTTTTGTTCTGTTTGTGTTATTTATTTATCCAGTTTTCTATAGTATGAGCGTTGAGTATTTTGGATTTCAGCTAGGGATGCTATCTAAATTCTTTGAAGTTATTTCTCCTCCGCGATCTACTGCGTGTGTTTGTGTGGAGTCAAAACGGTTGCAAATGCCTTGGCGGGATTCAAAGAATAAGGTTGATTGTGGTGTTTTTCTCATGCGGCATATGGAATCGTATGTTGGCCAACGTGTTCGTGATTGGGAGTGTGGTCTATTGAAGGGGGATACCCATTCGTTGCACAAGCTTAGGCTGCGTTACATGTCAGAGATTGTGATTTCAGTTCATAATGTGCACAGGCAGATCAATCTTTCTTGGGCGTACCAGTCCATATCTGCTCCTCTTCCACCTGTGTAGACTTGTGACCTATTTAGTTAGGCATTTTTGGTTTTTTTTGGGGTTGTGTGCACCCAGACGTTGTAGTTGTGCTTAGAGTTTGTTTTTGGTTCTGTACGCTGTTCTCTCCCGCTGTGGTGCGCACTGTGATGTGCTATTTCGTGGTTGTGCTTTTTACTCAATATTTGCTTATATCCAATGCTTATTAGTTTATCTTTTTGCATGGTATCCTAATTACTGCTCCCTTTAATGTTTGTGCGAATAAGTGGGTGCCTGTGTGCACTGCAGTGTAGCTTGTGTGCGCTGGGTGTGCGGTATATATACTTTGGTATGGGATCACGTTCGACCATGTGTGTACCGCTGTGGCGTGTTTCTGTGCGCGGGGATTATTTTCGATCATTTGTGCGCGGCTTTGTGGTGTATGTGTGTGGGGGTTTGTCTGTGAACTTGGTGTGTAGACTAATAGTTGTGTGCTTGGACTTATTTCCCCGGGTGCGTAGGGTGGTTGCTGTGTTTTTTTTTTTTTTTTTTTTTTTTTTTTTTTTTGGTTTAAAACAGAATGCTACGGATTAATGAGTCCATGTACTCAATGGGTGTTCATATTATCCAATTAATGAGTTTTGTGGTTGTGTGCACCGCTATGATGTGTTTCTGTGCGCGGGGTGAGTTTTTGGTCACGAGTGGGCGGATGTGTGTTGTAGGTGTGCACGAGTGGTTGTCAACTTGGCGTGTAGACAATTAGTTGTGTGCTCGTACGTATTGCCCTGTGTGCTGACTTACGCTTCATAAAATCGAATTAATACCAATATTGTGCAGTTTATAAATTAATGGCAGTGCGCACATCGTATGTATAACAAGGGTGCTTCATATAAATAATGGTGTACGGTTCGTAATCGTAAACTAAATTGCATTGTTCACTGTTTATAAAATAAATAGTATTCTAAACTTCGTGTGATGCAAGTTTATCTGGACAGGTGCGACTGTTGTGGCCTGGCAAGTCGCATATATTGCATGTTCGTCCTTTTTTCTGTTGTTTATTTGTGATGGCTTTCTCTTTGTTGCTTTTGAGTCTCTTCCCACTTCCTTTGTTCTTTGCCACTTGTGGTGGTTTTATTTGTATGTCTCCTGGTCTGCGTGATCCTATTAGTCTTTCGAACACAGATTCGTTGTTGCCACTCTGTTGTGTTTGTTGCGTCTCTCTTTCTAGATCTTTTTTCAATTGTTGTAATGTTGCCAACATTTTGTCCATTTTGTCTGGCCAACCATTCGCTAATCCAATGCAGTTGTAGAATTCGTTCCATAGCTGATTTGCAACTTTTGTTGTTTCATTCGCCTTGATAATATTTGTTCTTCTTGCCCATGGTACATCGTGTAATGGCTGTGCATGTGCGTCTCGTGATCCATCGTGGAACAATATGCCTGCACAGTATACCGACACGGTTGAAGTGCTTGCATGCACACTCTATTTGCTCCTTGCTTGGGTTTTCTGTTACTTCAAACATTTTTCCACGTTCCTCAACTTTGTAAGTCCATATATCACCTACGGAGTTTTTGTCGGTGATGTAGCACGTGAAACTGGCATCCCATACCTCTTGTTGAAATTCATAGAATATGTTTATTGTGTACACTCTCGCAGCGTGCTTCTCAATACTCAAAGGGGTTTTAGTTTCAGGGTACGAACCTTCATTTTCGGCAATGAGTTTTAACTGTCTATGTCTCTGTTCTCCAATTGCACTGTTGTATTGTGCCATGAATTCTACCAAGCTACAGTGGTGGTTTGTAAATTTTCCAAAGTAGCTGTTTTCTGATTCTGACCGTGATGTCGTCCTTAGCAGTCCTCCCATTAGTATGTCGTTGAAGTATGCTGGTATCCACGAGGCACGTGCCTCGTACAGTTGTGCAAACCACCTATGTTCTTCAAGACTGTAGTCCTTCATCAGTGTTGTCCATTTTCTCTCAAATTCATCTACGGTCAATGTGTCATCCCATACGGTATTATTCAGTTCCTTTTTGAAGTCTGCATTATGCCACAGTGCAACCCCTACCTTTTCTCCAACTTTTGACATGATGTGCCACATACAGAATCTGTGCCTGGTTGTTGGCATAGTTTGTGGTACTACTATCTTTAGTGCTGGATCTTGGTCGGTTGTAGTACATCTTGGTGTGTATTCCATGGCTGCCTTGAACTTCATGGCTAGCCACTCATATGACTCTACATCCTCTTTCGCAATCAAGCCAGCCCCAAATGTAATGCTTCTTTTGTGGTTATCCACCCCAGTGAAAGGGACGAACACTAACTTGTACCTGCAATGTAAGCACGGTTGCAATTAGTAGTTCGCAAACTTGTTGTGGTTGTAGTACCAGTGTCCTGCACGCTACTGCGCACACAAATCTGGTACATCAAGCACACGAGTATATATATTATATATATATATTTTTTATTAACATAAGCAGTGTATGCGCACATCTTTTTTAGCATGCATGCACAGTCAGTAGGTATCATATGTAATGAAGTGCGATATTTACCTGTTTGTGCTGTATGTAGCATCAAATGACATGACGTCTCCAAAGCATGCATAATTCCTCCGACATTCTGCGTCTGCCCAGAATAACCTAGTTAATTGTGCTTCTTCGTCTATGTCAAAATCGAAATAAAAGTCCGGGTTGTCCTCTTTTCTTTTGAACATGTCTTCTATCAGCATTTGGGCGTCCGCCTCAGCTATGTAGGCCAATAGGTCCCGTCTAAAATTGCAGAAGTCAATGCATGTTGCTCCTATATCTGTGAAACTGCCCACCATCTCTTTGAACAGTCTGAATGCTTTTGTGGGTCCTATGTTTGCCTTTGCACAGTGAGCCAAGAAGGTTTTGTGGCCGATGTCAAGTTGTCTATTTATCTTTAAAAAAGGTTTGCCATTGTCCGAGCATAGACAATGTGTATGTCGTAGTTCCATTGCATGGACTATATACCCACCAGTTTTGCACTTTGTCATTACCATACGTGCCTTACAGCCTATCCTGTTGGACACTCTCCTTCATTTCTTTTTTTCTTTTGAGCTATTTGTTGACTCCTTCCGTTCGGCCTTGTAACCCTCTCGTGAGCATAGCATATATTTAATTGACACTTCCCCGAATCGATTTCTCCGCTTTGTGCCATGCCTAACATCAAATCCTACTTCCTTAGCGTATGCTTCGTAGAAATCAATCCCGATGTCTACTGTTTCGAATTGCTGTCCTTCGTATGGTGTCATCTCTTTTTCTGTTGCCGGTGTGTAGTATTTTGCACCATCATCACGGATTTCCATTGCGCACTGTGTTTCATAGTGGCTACATTGGCCTTGACCTGTTCAACACATGAAATACACATTAGTTTTGTAGTCCGATAATTTTCGCAATATGTGCATGTTAGGCTTTCTCTGTGTCCAAGGTTCTACTAGGATGGTTCGCTTTGTGCATTTTTCTTCCAGGGTTTTTAAATGGTTTCTGTTGTGTGCACACGTCCCCCCCGTTTGTGTGCACCTCACCCTAAACACATGCAATCCTTTCTCCTAATTATCCAATGGCTGTATAACTTTTCCTGGGTGTTTACTACTGCCGTATGGTGTCTTCTAGGTGTCCCATTGATGTTTCTACATCTGTGCACGGGTGGATTGTTTTATTTTCACTGTAGCATTGGGAACTTTCGTCACTGTACGTAAAGTTTGTAGTATCCTATGTGTGCGTGTGACTATCTGGTTATGTGCACGGGTCAGTAATTTTGTTTCCCTATCACCACATTACAGTATTCATGTCGTGTTCATGATTAGGGTTTCCCATTACTCACGGTTTGTCCATGTTTTCCCCAATACATAAATATATACTGCACACAATAATTGATTATGAATAGTAACTGTATTTATGCGCATACTTTTCAATAATAATTCGCTTTCTATTCTACATCTATCATAATCAAGTTGTGATGTTTACTTGGTACTGATGGTGGCGTCCCTTCCATGTTCGCCTCCTTGGTTGTCGTACGTGGCGTCGCCGGTCCTCCTTGTGTTGTCGTGCTTGGGGTCGCCGGTTTCTTTCTATACACGGTGTTTTCCGTTGGAGTCGTGGATCGCGGTGGTCTGGGAGTGCCGTGTGTATTGCCTAATAACTAATCATACTAGAATTAATATTCTTTATTTTAGGTTGCATATCAGAATCGTAGGTTTGCCTTAATTAGGATTCAGATTGTTTGTCTAATTTGCCCTTTTCATATGTAATTGTCATCGTGGCAGTGGTTTCTCATCTTGCATCTAGTCCATTCATCTACTCTAATCTAATGGCCAATATTTGTCCTCAGGTTTGTATTTTAAGGGTGTTTGCATGTGAATGGCTCCCTATATATATATATATATATATTAAATATATGTTTGAACCTGATCATAAGTTTGGCGTTTTTCTTCATCTTTTAGAACCTGCAATTAAAAGGAAAAGTTATTAAAGGACCTATAAATACCTCATGCGTACTTCACTAATAGAACTCTTCAACAAAAAATATAATGTTGTTATTAACTAGCAGCTTCCTTTTTCACTTTGGCACTCATTTTCAAATGTGCATGACTTTTATCATGTTATAATTGTTATGATAAGCCAAAAACAATGCTATTCAGTTAATTGGTACAAAACCGTTTTCAATTTGTCAATGTGGCCATGTGGGTCATAGAGGGATAGATAAGTGACGATGTATAGGGTGTTATAGAATGGACACACACACATATACCAAACCCAATTCTTGAATTACTCTTCTCTCCCTACCACCTCAATGCAGTCCTTAATGTTAATTAGTCTCAATAAACTGGTTAAATAGATTATTGCAGAGAATGAGGAAAAATTGAAATACTAGGTGTTTGCTTGGAATTGAATACTTATCCAGTTATTATTCTTTAAAACTCCTATTTTGATATTTTACCAACTTCGTATGGATTTTATGTTGTGGGTAAGTAATGCACCTTAAGATCCATAAAACTCTAGCATGGCTTTAACAGAAACTTATAAGAATATAATTACTTGTAAACAACTTCATGATTTACTTGATTACTCTTTCTTTGTTCATATATACAGGCTAGTCTTTTGCATGGCACATTTGAAGCGCATTTTCTAAATCTCTGCCTTGGTGTTTATTTTCATTTCTGAATTGTTTGTTATTGAACAATTTGCGGGTTTTGGATGTTTCAAGGGTTGTGTATTTGGATTTCAGTAGTCTGAACCTTTCAATCTTTGGAATCATGTACTTGATTCACTATAACATGTGTATAGTTCCCCTCAATATTAAAAGTCTGTGAAGATTCATCTCTTTTGTTACCAAAATTCTAGAGTGACCTATGTTAAAACTTACCAACTGCCACTTCACAACTTCAACAAGAGGCAATGAAGGAGATGGTGAACCAACAGTTAGAGACCATGATAGTTGAGATGGAGATTCAGATGGAAGCTAAACTACAAGCTGAAAGAACTCAAATGCAGGTTCAAATGCAAACTCAAATTCAGGCTCAATTGCAAGTTCAGATTGCAAGTTCGATGGATGAGTTGTGTCGCAATGGCATGCAATCTGCTCCAAGTACTCAAGCTCAACATTCAGTTAATTCAAATGATGAAAATTTAGGAGATTATTAGTTTATGTTTATTAATATATTTGGTATTAGTTCTAATGATGTAACATTATACTGGTATACTTTTGTTATTGTTATTGACTTTGAATGCTTTAATATAATATATTTTATAATTATATTATTCAAGTATTATATTATAGGCTTAATGCGGGGTTTTTATATTAATTACAGGTATATTTGTTATTTTATTAATTTTTAGAATTTAGCGACGGACAATTATGGTAGTAAGGCAATGGAATAGCGACGAAAAATTTCGTAGTTAAATTTAGCGATGGATATTTCTGTCACTAAGTTGTACTTAAATGACATTCAATTCAAATAATAATAATAATAATAGCGACGATAATTTCCGTCGTTATATTAACGACAGATCCTAGCGACGGACAAGTCCGTCGCTGTCTTTAGTGACAGAAAAATCCGTCGGTATGCCGTTGCAAATCTCGTCGCCGGATTATTGTAGTAGGAAATTAGGGACGGATATTTTGTTGCTTTAGCGACGAAAAATCCGTTGCTAATTTTAGCGACGGAATATTCCGTCGATATTCGGTCACAAATTTCGTCGTCGTAAGAAATCTAGCGACGGATTTTTTCCGCGTTGCGACAGACATTTCCGTCGCTAAAGTTAGCGACGAAAAAAAATTGTGTCGCTAAATTCTAGCGACGGGGTTTTTTGTGATGGACGAAATCTATCACTAGACTGTTTAGAGACGGATTTTCACTATTTAGCGACCGAATTCGTCCATCGCTATTTCGGTATTTTTTTGTAGTGTCCCCAGTCTCACTATGGCTCGAGACCACCTGCTTCTGGTCACTCCCGAGGTGGAGTCAATCGAGGATACGCGGGTGCACCCTCCGGGAGGTCAGGACCTCCTCCAGGAAGAGTGTTTGTGATGAGCCGGTATCCCTCAGCTTGAGGACTTTGCCGAGTAGGAGCCCTCCCGAACCGATCTCCCTACCTTTGAGTTTTGCCTTTCCTGTGTTTCTTTCCTTAAGCCTTTTGTCTTGGGTAGATCTAAATAGATAATTTAGTAGTGTCCCTTAGGGTGTGCCAAGCTCTAATCTTAAAAAGCTTAATAATGAAGGGAACCTAGCTATCGTGTTTAACCTAATTTTAAGGATAATTTAATTTGTTATTAAGAAATTTCAAACTCGAGCCTCTGTCTTATCAACCCAACTCCTAAACCACCTAAGCTAATTGTGTTTCTTGAGAATTTTTGAACCCAAATTCATCTTACCTTTTCTTACCTAAACCCTAGCCTAAAATCCCCAATTAAAATTCTATTTTCTCCCTTCTTCCCAAACCATCCCCACCCGTAGCTGCAGCCGAGAAAGAGAGAGGAGCGAGAGCCCGTCCCCCAGCCCGTTGCTTGCCGTCGACCGCCACTAGTCGCCGCCGACCGCACACCGCCGCACGAGCCGTCGCCAAGAGCTCCACCGCCGGTCAGCTTGCCGAAAGAGAGAAAGGGGGAAGTGAGAAGAAAAAAAAAAGGGAGTTTAAGCTTCAATCTTGTTCGGGTCCCTTCACCATGCCTTGGATGTAACACCCCGTGTTACGGCCTTGAATACCGGATTAAATATTTAATGAGTTCCGTTAGTAATAAGAAGAAAGGATTTAATTTGGTTAAAGATTCCCTTTAATTAATTGATGTGGCCCACAATAGAACATGGATCCTTATCCTTAAACCCAAATCCTTAATCCTATAAGGAATAGGATAGATGGATCCTTACTATTCAGACCCTAGTTAGGACTCCTAAAATAGGAGAACCCACGAGAAGAAGATCTTAGAAAAAGAACCTTAGTAGCCAATGATATTGATTAAGGCTAAGAGGTAACCCATGTCTCAACAAAACCTATTTTCCTCGCTATATCTTATTCATTGGCTCCTTTGATATATGATTCTGTGCTTGAGTCTTGATAGAGATTTGCCTAGGGTTTATATTGTGTTTATGTGATAATCTTGATGTTTATGTGTTGATCTTGATGCTTATGTGGTGATCTTGATGTTCTTGATACTATGATTAATTATATGAACGATCTTGTATTTTGATTATGTCTAGAGCCCTAGGGTTAAAATGTGGATTTCGTATTATGTTATTCTTGGTATGTTTGGGTGGGATTTTGCATGACCGGATGTTGAGTCTAGCCTAGGACTTGTGTTTTGGTCTTGCATATAAAGTCCTTGATGTTCCTGTGGTTCCGGATGCTCCTGAACCATTATATGATTGATGTTAAGTCCTGGCATGTTTAGGAATCGTGTTTGAACGTATTTGTTGTGATTCTTGGTTAAATTTCGTTAATTGAATACGTGGTGTTGTCATTATGTGTTTGAATGTGTTCGGACAAGGTTTCTGGTTCCACGAGGGATCCGGGGACCATAAAGTTGCCTGTGTATCAGTGGGTGTAGGTGGGGGACTGACCTCCCGCCACCTACCCACTGCCCGCCTCTACTGTTCCAGCGGGCAGCCGGCGGGCGGTGGACTGCCCGCCGGCCACCCGCTGGAATAGTACCCGCCGTCGGCGGGTGGTCCTCCACCCGCCACCTTCCGCTGGAATCCCGGCGTGATTCGTGGTGTTTTTTCCCGTTTGATGTTTCCCCGTGTCCCGTTGTACCCCGTTTGTCATGTGTGAGTCTAGTTTGATGCATCGGGTACCGTTCTTAGGATAA